ACTACGGAAAAAATGTTAATTAATCGAAAATTGGACTTTAGCGCTTACAAGAATGTCATTCCTGTGTTTCGCTAGTGTGGTGACAAGAAGTGCACTTAACAAACGGGAAAAGGTGTTTGGGTCTCCATAAATAACGCTTCCACTGATCACAAGTAGGACCAATGTAGGCGGAATGAGGTCTCGATGATAAAACTTGCTACTCAATTTAACAAGTAGGCTAAATTTTACCTGTGCTAGTGGGTCTAAGCCAATTTAATTTAGCAAAACTGTGCGCACCTCTTAAATTTAATAGCATTATTTTTTAAAGAACAAACTCCCAAACCTTAGCATATGATTTTTAAATAAGCCCCAAAATAAAAAGCGAAATTAGGGGAAAAACAAATTAGTTTTGGAAGGATGAGTAAGTGATAAAGGTGAAAAGGATGTGAAATTAGGTACTACTTCCCGAAATGGGTATGAGCTTAAAGCTTTTTGCTTGGAAATAAGGTCAATGCAATTCATGATTCGTACAACCTGCTCCTTAATGTAACGTCCCTCTCACTCTCTTTTTCGTCCCTTTGAATAGAGTTCTCACGACTTTGGCCTCTAAGGAGCATCATTGGGCATTTGGGGAACAAAGTGATGCAGAAGAAGGCAGAAAGAGTCTATTCCTATTCCTCCCTTAGGAGTTCCTTTCCTCTGCTGGGAGAGCATTCTATTCGAATTCTCACCTCAGACTTATAAAGTATATTTAAACAACTTGCGTATGGTACTTGATTCTATTTCAGTGGTAAATCTGCGCACTGATATCCGCAAATTTTACCACGTTTGTGGCTAGTCTATGATCTCTGGTGGTATGTATAAGTAATAATGGAGCTGTCTCATTCGTTTAACCCAAAATTTTTAAAATGTGCAGTTTACTGCTACGCGTAAGTGGAAGCGTTTACAACATTGTAGCTGAACAAATAATGACTGTTTTAAAAGCAGTTTACCTTAGGTTTGCCGTTTCAGTCGAGCTGTAAGTAGCTCTTAATAAAGTTAATGGTGTTTTGGTAAAATTTCAGAAGAGCAGCATCGGAATAGATCCATACGCGTATCTACAAATGCCGATGTTGACAATGCATTATTGGTACGCTCTCATCAGGTCATATGCCCTGATAAAGAGGCCAAAAGTTGCATCTCACTTGTCGCTTGCCCTGCCTTACCAGAGTATTATTCTCACAATGGGGCGCTCTTTTCATTGTATGTAAGTTGTTTGCATTTTTAGTTCAGGAGCGCTCACGCTTGAAAACTGTGTTGCAATTTTAAAGAGGAGAATCCCCAACAATGTGTCTGATTGGGTGGTTCCGATACTTGACTGAGCTCTGTGCGTGGCGCAGACACTCTCCATGGTGGACGCAACTGATGTCTGCGAGAGCGTGTAAAGCCTGCTGACCGATAGAACACGCAGTCAAGGTGTTCTAAGATGTACATACTTAGGCAACCACTAGTCTCCTCCAAGGAGGATAACAGTAGTCATGAAAACCCCCCAAACTTTCGACCTCTGAGTTGTTTTCGCCTTCCCAGTGTGTTTGTTCCAGCTACAGAAAGTTTGCAGTTTCCTCTCCCTTGTTGTTTCTGCTGCTCTAACTTTTACTTCTGACAAGTGTTCTCTATTTAACCCGTCGTTGAATTTTTTGTTGCTGTCGGAGATGGCAAACAAAGAAGAATCAACAGACCTACAAGCAGGAGAGACTCTTACCTCCTTTTGTGGTGAGTAGCATTTACAGAACACGGCGAGACCCAAAGATTCGATTACGTGCTAGTTAATCTCATCCAAATCACGCTGATTTAAGTAATAATATAGTGTTTTTCGGCACTGAGCATTGAAGCCAAGTCTCGTGTTGGAGGAACGCCGATTTTTTGACCATACCCGACAACGACACTTTACTGAATTGAAAAGCTAGCAATACAGACTGTAACAACAATTGTCTCACCACTCGTGTGCCAAGTCTTGGCACCAGATACCACAATGAGTAGAACACGGTAACGCCCAACAGAGTAGACTAACCAATGGAGTAACAACCCGGCTCAGTACTGAAATCATTGGTTAGTCTGTTGGCTGAGGTGATGACTAAGTCACCGTGTGATTGGCCAACTGCTCTGACAAGCTTATACACAGGTAAGCGTTCGTGCACTTGACGGCCTGCAAGCATTCGGTCGTCAGCCGGGCCGGGTCCGCTGGTATGTTGTGGTGTCCTTTGTTCTAATTTCTCAGAGCCGTTTTGATTAAGTGTGGTTGAGTGTTCTGCTGAATTGGTGTCTCTCAAGCATCCTGGAGTTGATTCATGCACTCTACTAGAAGGGGTCTTCCCTTGCTATCGCTGCATTGTTAGCTCACAACTTCGGCTATCTGCTTGAATGGCTAAACTCTCTACCGTATAACGTGTCTTCTCGCGTTTCTGCTTCCCAAATGTAGTTGGCAGATGAGTTAAGTAGTTGTCTCGGACCGAATTCCTCACACCTGAGCGATGGGTTTCATCCATTGTGCGCTGCTTTTAGGTAAACTGTGTTAATGCTACTGATTGCAGCGGGTTTCCACCTTAGTTGGTTTCAGCACTTTTCCAACGATTTTAGAAATAGTTTGATGCATTCTGCGCGTATAACGACACCTTTTGAGAGTATGGCCCTATCAAACAAATGCGGTAGACTGATGTTCGAATATTGGGACGAGGGGGATTTCACCACTCGATAATCAAGTGCATATTGGTAAAACTTATTGAAACTAAAGTTGGGGGTTAGTTTGCTTGGTTTTTTGAGGTGATTGTGATTGTAAAACGATGGGGACAGCTTAGTGTTTTACTGGACGTGTCACCAATTCGCTCAAGTAAGGCTGTTAGACAGGCACCTGCCTAAGATGCGGTTGGTTAGGCTATTCACAGCCGAAGTCTTGGTGGCGGTAGCTCCCTGCTCCATCAACGATAATTGTGACTCCATTCCAGCTTCACGGCTGGTAAGCTACGCGTCATCTTGGGCCTCTACAATGCTGTTGGGTGGTTTCTGTGCGTTTACTACTAAGCTTGTCCTTTCAAGCATTTCCAAGGTCGACTTTGGTCTCCCATTGATGTGCTCGTCTAATGGGCGATCTCCTAATTTAATTTTGCATAAATTTTGCAAAGAACTTACGCTCAATACTTACCACCTGTTTTATGCGTGATTGATGCGCCCATGGCAGCTCATACCGCAATTACTCGATTTCTAGGTGGCCGAGCAGAATGTGGTTCAAGATAAGTCGTCGCAAACTGGGTGAAATGGGTCTCCAAGCCTTCACTCCGCGTGGGTGGGGGAAACCAAAGAAAGGCATGAGACGCTTCCACTGGCCTAGTCTGCGCCGCTCCTCTTTCCGTCGAAAGCCCTCTCTCCGCCGTACCTCTCCTCCACAGGTCTGCAGCGGTGTGCCTCCGCAAGTGTCTGGTCCCGCCGTTGCGGATTCTGACTTCCCACCGCCAAGGCGTATTCGCTGTGGCACTACCGTCATTCCGATAATGCGCGCGTCGGCACCCCATTTCCCTCCTCCTCCCACCGCAATTAAACGCCGTCCTACTACGACGTCCTCGATATCGTCGCAAGAGCACAGGTTTCTGAAGGTGCGACGGTTGAGTCGTCTCGAGCACTTTAATCCAATCTACGACGACGTCTATAACGACTCTACCGAGGAATTGGGGGACGAGGCGATTTACGAGGAGATCATGCCGTCACGAAAGCATCCACTTGCCGCACCTTCCTACCTTGACCTCATGCAGGTCTCGGCGGTGGTCACCGACTCACCATCAAAACACCCTAGGCCGGTTTCGCCTACTCCCTCGCAAGGCGTCTATGTCCTCCATGGCGGGGATTGGGTGTCAATCGCATCAGGCGTCTATGATGATGTCGCTTCGTCTGGCAACGAATCGGAGGTAGAATTCGAAGTTGGTGGGTTTCTGCTCATATCTTT